GTTTCATAAAAATTTATTTATTAATTAAAAACTAAAATATAAAGATTTAAAATAACATGATTTTTATGTCATATAACATTTGTTATAAATAACACAATTTTTGTTATCATATAATCTATGATGTTCTAGAATATACAGTTGTTAAGCATACACATTTTATAAATACTTATTAATTAATTTGAATATTATTTTAATATGTTTTCATATTTTTACATAGACCTATAACATTGAAAAAGTAACACAAACTAAGACTACTATTACTGGCAAGTACTTATTATTTTCAATTATCACAAAAAATGACAATATAATATCACAACTTGAATAGCTAGATCATTTTTTCCTTCATAACTTTGTTAGTGACTTAAAATTACAACCATTATTACACTACACAGAAAACTTACGATTTTCGGAAAAACACTGAACGACGAGTCGGTGATTTTGACATTGTAAAGATAGAAATCAGAACGAGCACAAAGAAAGGAAAGGTTATAACATCTATATAATTAAAATATTGAAGAAAAAATGGACCAAATTTGATTACCTATATTATTGAGTCCGTCGTTAAGTTACAGCACGAAAAAATTCATCAAATTCATAATAAACAAAGTAAATGAGCGTACAAAAAAAACACAAAAACGTCGATGTTGACTTAGAATGAGTGTGATAAGGAAAAAGTTGTTTTCGATAATTAGTATTTCATGTAGAAAAAATATTTTTACGTAAAAAGTCCCAAAAGATTAAACTTTATGCACGTTACAATACTCTTAACAAACGTCTGTTTTGTCATTCAGTTTCACAAACTTAAACAACACTAGAGACACGAATTTCTGCCATTATAACCATTTCTACAAAGTGCTCAAATTAGACACTGAAATAATTGTGAAATAGATTCTGAATTAAAATTAATATAAACATTTTCTAAATATATCACATATTTAATTATCTTATCAAAACTATGCTAATATTTTACAATATACTTCAATAAGCAGGGATATTTTAATTTTGAATATGACTAGTAAACTGTTTATCACGATTTTTAGAACATTATACTTTAAAAGTAATTGCTGTCTTTAACATAATAATATAAAATAAAGTGCACTGTTCATTTTTACTAATTACATCAGAA